TGTCCATCAGTAGATGAATGGATAAAGAAGATGTGGTACATATATACAATGGAATATTATTCAGCCATAGGAAAAAAACAAATCCTACCATTGCAACACCATGGATGGAGCTAGAGGGTATTATGCTCAGTGAAATAAGGCAGGCAGAGAAAGACAAGTGCCAAATGAGTTCCCTCATTGGTGGAGTATAACAATAAAGGATCAAACAACTGAAGGATCAAAACAGCAGCAGACTCACAGACTTCAAGAAGGGACTAGTGGTTACCAAAGGGGAGTGTTGGGGGAGGACAGGTGCAAATGGAGGGTGAAGGGGATTAGGAGGAATTTTGATTTGGCACACATGGTGTGGGCGGGGTCACAGGGAAGACAGTGTAACACAGAGAAGACAAGTAGTGACTTTGGCATGTTACTACACTGATGAACAATGACTGTGGTGGGGTGTGTGGGGGGAGAACTCAATAATACGGGTGGGTGAATGGAGTAACCACAGTGTTGCTCATGTAAAGATTTTTATAAGATTGTATATCAACAATACCTTAATTTGAAAAATGTTAATACTCTAAAAATTATAAATAAAAATAAATGCTTTAGCATGCAGATCATTTGGTAGGGTTCAATATTTGTTTCTTATTCCATTTGGGATACAGTTTATATTAAGTGAAATGAGCAAGTCTTAGGTATGCATTAGGTGCATTTCTTAGGTTTAATCCTATGTATATACACCTGTGCAGTCTAAATCACCACTGAGGTATGAAACATGACTCCAAAAATTCTTGCCTGCATACCCCTTCCCCATCCATCCTCTCTCTCACTACTCAGAGGCAACTTCCCTTGATTTTTCCACCATCCATTAGTGTGGCCTGTTCTACATTTTTATGTTATGGAGTCATATAGCATCCCCTCTCTGGTTTAAGGCTTCTTTCACTCCGCATAACATCTTTAGATTTACTTTTGTTGTTGCATGTGTCAGTAGTTCATTCCTTCGTGTTACTGAGTTTATTCTGTTTTATAAATATACCAGTTTGTTTTCTCATTTCCCTGGTGTTGTAATGACATACATTCTTGAGTAGGTAATTATTAGTGTCAGACTGCATTGTGAGAGGTATTGCTATTTTATGCTGGGATTCACATTGTAAATATACCACATAGTTACCTTCTGCTAGGATTTTCAGTCTTAGAACATTGATGGGGAGTATACATGGAACACAAGCTCTAGAGACAAATAAAAGGATGGAGGAGATAGAATACCTTCAATAGTTTTTTGAGGTTGTTTGTTTATTTATTTTTAAAGAAAATTTCTCTCCCTGTGCATCTTTTTCCAATGATTTCATATTTGGTATAGCCACATTTTAATATAAATAACTTCTTACATATTTGCCTCTACAGTTGACTGGAAGCTCCCTGATAATAGACTGTCTCTTTGGTATCCTCCGCACACAGCACAGAACCTGATACCTCATAGTCACTTAGTCAACGTTTCATGAATGAATGAGTGAATGAGTGAAAATTGGCATTCATTGGATGACTTTTTCATCAAGCTTCAGCTCATTTCTTCTTATCTTTATGATTAAGGTAATAGTCTCTTATATCTGCTTTTCTATAACTGTGAAATACTTTAAATGTTTAGGTCATATGTACCTTAATTTCTAATTGGACTAAAAACTGAAGTCATGGATGGAGCTGTGTATTCTGCATTCTTACACAGAGAAGTACTGTGGTATACTGGAAAATAAAGTTACCATCTAAGTGCTGGTTGAATGAAAGTTCCCATTTAGGATAATCAAATTCTAATCCTGGAGGGTGCCAGGATCATAGAGTACCACTTCCTGGTTCTTCCAAGAGACCAGGAGCAGCCAGACAACCAGGAGTTCTTCTGTTTTTTTGTTTTTTTGTGTGTATCAGGACCCAGTGCAAGTTCTGGAAGTAGTTGACAATAAATAGTCAGTAGGAAAAAAGGAGGAAGGAGGGAAGGAAAGAAGGTGGATGGGAGGAAGCAGGGAACTGAAACTTAGGGTCATTAAATAATTTGCCAAAACCTACATCAGAACCTAGTTCTTTCCTTTCTCAGCCCAGTCCTGTTTCCACTAGATTGTTCATATTTGTAACATGACTAATGTCCAAAATGCCATCTATTTCCCTTTTACTCGTGGCAATTTAACTATGAAAGCAGTTGCTTTGCTTCACTGCAGCTGTTGCATCTATATACCTGAAATGCCAGTGCTCCAGCTGTCTTGAGAGGCCTAGTTTGCAAGAGAACAAGACAAAATACTTTGCTGCCTTAATTCTAGTGGGAATTTAATTTAATTAGCATCTGATTTACACAAATGTGCTTCTGACAGCTGTTTTTGTGGACTATCCATACAAGCAAGAAATTACCATCCATTGAAATAATCATCAAAGCTTATTTATCTTCCTGCTGCACTTTCCGGTCTTCTGCTTTGGGGACTTGTGTGTATTTATTGCACACTTGATGGAGGTTAGAGTAAATAAGACTCTAGTAAGTGCACTAGGATTTGTGGAGTATTTAGTGCAGGCTTGTTCCAGAGACTTAATAGGGTAAGTCTGGAAATGAGTCTTTGGATGTTTGATCAAAGGACAGGTGTTTATTAATGTTGGAGTTTAAGGAACATTAAGGATCTCAAATAAGGAAATCTTACCACTGGGCCAGAGGAGTAATGACAGCAGCAGCATTTGGGACTTACCCCACACACTCTGCTTGTCACTGCCAAGGATGTGGGCACAGCTCACTGGGGCTACTCCTTAAGCACCTGGAGCTATATTAGGGCTACCAAGGGATTGGTTGTAGCATCTTATCCATATTTATATTCTCCAGTGTTTGGAACATAGTAAATGGTTGGTGACTGAGTGGATGAGTGAGTAGGATCAGGTATGATTGAACAGGGGCTGAGCTTTTAAATGAATCCAGTCATTAACTGTTACCACTGTTCAATAGATGCACTATCTGAAGAGTGATTTGTGTGAGTTTATATTGTCATACCTGATTAGGGAGGTTCTCACCACGTTCAGAGAAGGTAGAATGCACATCTAAATAAGAGTGCACAGGAAGCTTCCAAGAAGAGGTGGCTAGAGAGCTGGGTCTTCAATGATATACATGTTTTGTTGGAGTGAAATGTCTGAAAAACAAGATGTAAAGGTAGGAATCCCAAGAGAAAAATTGGTATTAACAAGATGAAAAAGCATGAGGTAAAATGTTTTTATGGAGCAGGGAGCTTGTCTCACAGAGATAGGAAAGGTAGAATAAGTTAGGGCCAGACTACGAGAATTTCAAATTTTATTCTGTAACAATGTCAGATCTTTGGAGATTTTTGAGAAGGGGAGTGACCTGATTAGACCTGTGGCTTAGATGGAACCTCTGACATCAAGGTGAAGAATAGAAAAGCAGAGAGGGGGCGTTCCTTGGCTCACCCCTTAGAGAGGTCTTCAGTGCTTCCACAGGAGAACAATAAGCAAGGACTAGATCCACCAGGAAAGACCTAAAAATCTAGAAGCAGGGTTACTGACATGGAAATGAGGTTCACAGATAACATAAAGGATGAACTGTCAAGATTAGGAATGGACAGGTTGACTGCTGAAAGGCAAGGTTGCCCCTGAAGCTTCCAGCTTGGCTGACAGCAAGGATGGTGACACCATTGAAAAGAAGAGTCTAAAGGAGATACAAGTAAAAATTAAAAATGCTTCTCAGTTTAATGTGTTATTCATATACCCGACACATGCCCATTTTCTTGGTATCATTCCAGCTTGATAGAGTAGGAATATTAGAATTAAAAGACACCTTGCAGATTATCTGAGTTAGTGTTTCTCAAAGTAAGTCCTCAGACTGTTATTTCTCAAAATGCTCCATGCACAAATGATTTTATAAGGAAATACATTAGAAATTATTGTATACTATATCTGACTTTCAGAGCTTAACAATAATGCACATTAGCATATTAAACACCTTGAAAATTCCTACAGCAAAGAAACTTTTTACATTTTGTTTAATCACACTCCAAGCTAACAAAAATCAAGTTTCTCAGACCCGAAGCACATTCCTGCACCACTTCCCCCAGCTGAGCTGCCCCTTGGTATGGAATTGCATTCAAGAAAATTCCACCTTCTTGAGGGCAACTGGTCATATGTCTGTTTCCCACATAATAACCTGCTTTTGTAGATAGCAGCTAAACTGAACCATCCATACATGCAAATGTGTGTGTACGGGGGGAGATTGAATACAGAATATTCCATTTTCCATAGGATCATAACTCAAGCAGAACCCAAAGCAGAGGTAAGCACAGGGATAATCTTTAGTGCACACTCTCACTGTGCACCTTCCTGCTTGTAGATGTTATCCCACAGCTGGTGAGGGAACCAAATGGAAGACAGTAACACTAATGGTGCCATGTGAATAGAACTTTGAATGGTGCTTTCACACACAGGACCTTCATGAAGTCCAGCCTTCTTAGGGAGCCTGGCTTTTCATTATCCCATTTTTGAGGATAAGCCTGATGCCTGGCCTATATGTGACCACCAGCTAATGACTGGAAAAAGTAGTTAAAATCTAGGTTTTCCTGGCTAATGAATACTCACTATACTTTCCCTTTAAACTTGAAAATGCATTCCCTTCTGATTCTAAGCACTCACTTCAGGAACTGCTAGGCCTGTCTTTTATCCACTCATTGTTGCACAGCCAGCTGGATGGAAGATTTTGAGTTCTCATATGGTCACAATCTGTGAGAGGAGTGGACACAACCCATGTACTTCTTCATGATTGTTAGGATTTTGGACTTCATTGGCAGGCTGTGGGGAGCCCAGATGAAAGTTTTTTGCATAATAATGTAAGACTTTTATGCTTATCTGGCAGGGGAGATACCATGATCACGAAGGTAGTTTTCCCAGGGTGAGGCTATCCATTGGGCTCCAGATGTGCTGAACCCTGTGATTTCCCCAAATGTGGGAAACTCAACTGCATAATTTGTGGTAGTGGGGGACTGTGTTAGCACTTTACCCTAAAAAAAAAGAATGTAAGACTTTACATTTTTAAATCTGGACTGTAGGAAACAACATGAGGCAGAGATGAGAGCTATCCTGCACACTGCATCATTGTAACATTGGCCAAGTAGCTAACGTAATAGTTTGCTAAATATGGTGGTAGTGACTTCCTAAATGCATGTGCCAGTCAATATTCTCCTGAAAAAAATAGTCAAAGAGATCAATTTCAAGGGATTTGCTTGTGCAGTTGTGGGGTCTGGCAAGTCCCAAATCCATTGGGGAGGCCAGAGGACTGGAAGGTCAGGCAGGATTTGATGCTGTGGTCTTGAGTCAGAATTCCTTCCTCTCTGAGAAGCCTCTGTTTTTTTTTTCTCTTAAAGCCTTTCAACTGATGAGGCCCATCCACATTATTGACAGTAATCTCCTTTACTTAATATCAATTCTTTGTGGATGTTAACTGCTCCTACAAAGTACCTTCACAGCAACACCCAGATTAGATTTGATTAAATAAGTGGCTACTACAGCCTAGCCAAGTGGACACATAAAAGTAACCATGCATTAGGCAGTGAGGAAAAACTGATATTTCAATCAATGGCCTGAAATCAGCATTTAATGAAGTTTCTATGTAGTTTCAGGAACCACCTTTCTTATAATTTGAAGGTAAAGGAGGTTCTGTCACCAACACCTTCCTGGGAGCGAGTTTACCCTATCAGTGACACTAATTTTCACCAAGACAATCAAAGACGGTCATGAAATATTTGTCTAAGGATACATTTTCCTGAATAGAATTTCATTATCTACCACTCTGCCCTGATTCATACAGCTGGTCAGCCTGAGGTAGGCTTAAAGCTGACAAAGTCAATGTGCCAGGGAAATAATATTCACTTCCTTTAGAGTGGGTTGTTGGGAACTCTTAGTGTTCGTTTCCTCAGTATAAATACTGCCCACCCAAAGTAATTTCAGGTTGCTAGAACCGTGCCACCTCTGCCTTGTCCCCAAAATAAATGAGACCTTACAAGGAAGAGTTTCCCTTAAAGAGCTTTCACCATTTTCCCCCTTTTTTGCTCAAAAAGATTACTACTGTGTTTGCCAGCTCTCGGCAAACCTGCATAAATCACCTGAGAGTACAAATGGTTGAAGGGGTGCTTGGTTTCACAGGAGAGATCTTCACCTGTTTTATGTTGGAGATGAAGGGTGGATACCTGAGTGCCTTTGCCAAAGAGCCACTCTGATCACTTCAGACTTCCTGAATTTCTACTTCCAAAGGCTAAGGTTTAGGTGGCTCCATCATCAGAGAGAAAAATTATAAAGTTGACTTTAAGCTAAGACCCAGTTTAGAAAGGCAAGATCACCATCCTAAGCTATTGGCAGAAATTAGGCATCTGCCGCTGTCCAAGCCCACACTACACAAAGGCTTCTGTTCCTCCTGCAGTCAGCTATCAAGGGATATCTGACTATTGCCACCTTTTCATTCACACAGTAGGTCATGTTGGGGGTGGGAGTTGGGGGACATACCACCCAGGAGAATGCCCAGGTGGTTAGACTGGGCTATGGCATAAGAAGCCAGGAGGTCCCTGTCACCCAAGACTACTGGGGTGCATTCTGAACATGTGCAAACCAGGGCTGAGGGTGCCAGGATTCTCCAACAGTTCAAGGGTCTAGAGCAGCAAAATTACCAGGCAGACTCTTATCGGGCAAGGCATATGCCTAATCAAAAACCCTAAACTACCCAACAGGGAATATTCCCCTGATGGCAGAGCTCCAGATTATACACTATGGATTACAGAAACTCCTGTAAGACATATAGAAGCCCTGGTTGCTAGAGAAGGTGATCAGACAGCAAGTCCAAATGCAGACTGCTGCCCATTTGCAGCGGCTGCATCAGACAGATTTTTCCGTGGGTGGGCCCCATTCACTCTGGAGGCTGTGCTGGTTTTGGCCAGGTCCTAGCACCCAGAACCTGGAGTGTCTGGGCTGCACAAGGCCTGGTGAAAGGGTGTGTAGTGCACATGCATGTGTAGGTAGCTCAGGTCTGCCAGGGGCAAGGAGTTATGGATGCTGGACTACATGCAAGGGCAGCCCGGAAAGCAGGCTGTATTGTCCTCTGATGGGAGACACCTGGGAGTTCTGATTGAGGAAGGAGTCCTGGACCACCACCTGCAAAGCCCAAATGGGAGCTCACTGTCGCCAATTGGTAGCTGAGGCCTCAGGTGAATTTTCAGAGGGTGGGACCTCCATACTGAGGACTGTGCTGGTGGCTGGGAAATGACCCTGCTCAGCAAGCCAGGAGAGCTCAGGATGCAACAGTTCGGCAAACAAGCTATCAACAGTGTGTGTGTCAGCCAAGGGGGTCAGAGTTGCTGGAGACCTGCCACAAGGCAAGTGTATGGAGAGGCCAGATCACAAGGGCAACCTGTCTTGGAGTACAAGGAGACTGCCTAACTAGAAGTATTGCCCTCCATACATGTCCATATGCCCCTGAGGACAGAGCTGGAGGAATCTGGGCTGCCTTGCCAAGGCAGCCAGTGTTTGGAGGGTGGATTCGGGGCACCTTCCAATAAAGGGCACCCAGGAGCCGGAGTGATGGGACTCAGGAGACTGCATCAGGCAGCCTTTGCAAAGGGGTCTGATGGTTGCCAGTTGAAAGCCACCACCTCAGAGAGGATTTGGGGAGTGAGTACTCTACATCTTGAAAGCTATCCAGGTTTGGGGGACAGACCTGAGCCCCACAGGCCCAGAGGCCCAGCACCCAAAGGCTGGCTGACAGAGTGCAGACTATGTGCACCCAGGCAGTGCTGTTCAGGGGAGCAGGCAGAGACCCTCAAGAGGGAAGCCTATTGGAAAGGTCCAGTCAAATGAGCAGTTATCTATTGTTGGGGTTGGGTTAGATTACAGGTTAGGGCTAAGGTTAGGCTTAGTGTTAGGTGATAGGCTTACAGTATGGAATAGGGGTAGGGTCAGCCTGGGCCCTGTCAAACCTGTGGTCAATAACTGAGCTGACCCTGCCTCTGTGCAATTGAGCAGCTACCTGGCAGCACAGACAGCCCCCTGGATGTTTCACTTTCCAACATCCATGTGATTGAAACAGTTACCTCCTCCCATCATCTTAGCCTCCCCAGAGAGGTAATAACTCCTCAAACGTTAAATATGGCCCTGGCCACAGCATCCATACAGCAGACTGTGGCCCTGGCATCCTTTTGCTCTCCTGTTGTAGCAAACCTTTGTCATTCATGCTTGTTACGAATCAAATGCAGGAGAGTGACAATGTCTCCCAGCGAGAAGTTTCTCACTGAGGCTGTATGGTCTTAGAGAGCCACATGCATCCATGGCCCAGCCCCTGTGGCCTCCAGAAAGTCTGTGGATTCTGTGGTATGGAATAATTCTTGAGCTTCATTAAATAAGACTCTCTCTACCACCCCAGCATTTGGTCTCTGCTCTTTGTAAAGGAGGGAGAAGAGACTGGAAATGAGCAGATTTGTTCTTTGAGGTGGGTGATTAATATGGTCAGGGGGCAGGTGTGACTCCCGGGCTCTGACTTCTCAGAGACAAGGACAAGGTCTGTGTGCCTTCCCAGGGCACAGGGACTGTTCTGGGCAAGCCTCTGAGATGCCAGGACCCGATGCCAAGGCAGGAACCTTGCATTTTCCACAAGAAGCAATGCTGCTTTACCTGCAAGTGGAGAGCTCCTCACTGCTGTGGGAGGGCAGCAGAGCCCTGGCCCTAAGTGAGCCCCTCCCTCCCTCAGGCTTCAGATCCGCAGCTGTGCATTGGGCCCTCAGTGACATGGCACCCACTGCTTTTCCCACCTGGCATCTGTTCTCATGCCAAGCCCATCACCTTGGCTTTCCTGGGAACTGTGTCTCACCTGCTCCAGTCCAAGCAGTTTCAGAGGCAGACCCCACATTCCAACCACCCTGGAGATGGGGGTACTATGCAAGTCTAGGCAGCACCACGCCCCATCCTCTGGGTGCTCTGATGGGTTCAGGGATGAGAATGAACAAGCCAGGTCTAGGGCATTTAAAGCTGTGACTTTTCATGGAACCCAAGGGAAGGAGAAACTCTCCTGGTAGAATGGGCGGTGAGTGGGTGTTGGTCTGGAGCTGCTGGATGCTCCAGATGCAATGAGAGCCCATGCCTGTGAGTGGGGCCAAAGGCATTTAGCATGTTGGAGGGTTTGGAATACCTTTGAAGAGCACACATTGTTCTCCAAAGGGCAGTACATGCAACTCCACCAGCAGCGGAGAGTTCCTGTGTCCTTCACCTTCCATCAATCAGTGGTGGCATGTTTTGGAACCTAGCATTTCTTACAGGTGTGCAGTGCTAATTGCTGTTTTAGTCTGTAATTCCCTAATGATGTATGATGTTGAGAATATTTTTGTATGCTTATTTACTATATATCTTCTTTGGCAAAGTGTGTGTTCAGATCTTTACCCATTTTTTATGGGGTTTAAATTTTTTTGTAAATTATGAGCACAAATCCTTTACAATTTTTTGTGTTTTGCAAATACCTTCTTCCAGTTTGTGGTATGTCTTTTGGTTCTCTGAACAGCGTCTTTCACAGAGCAGAAAATTTTAATTTTACAAAGTCCATGTTACTTCTCTTTTGTGGATGTGCTTTTGGTGTTGGGTGTTAAAACTCATGACCAAATCCAAGGTCGTGTAGACTTTCTTTTCGGTTTTCTTCTAGAATTCGTGTAGTTTTGAAAATTAAATTTGTCTATGGACAATTTTGAGTGAATTTTGGTGTAAGTTGTAAAGTCTGTGTCTACATTCATTTCATTCCATAAGGTTTGCAATGAGTTGTTCATTAACTCTATCTGGAGAAGACACGGGTTGTTTGGCTCCAGGTCAATTTGATTTTCCAGTTTCTTCCTTCAACTGGACAACAGGCAGGAGGTGCCGCAGTCTCGGATGGGTGGGTCTTTGAGACCTGCACCGCCGCCCAGGGCCTGCAGGGGCGGCCAAACCACAAAGCGGAACCTCGCGGCGCATGCGCCTTCAGTCCCCGGACTTCACTGCG